CACTCATCACCTTCCCGGATTCGGATGAGGTTGTAGGCACTACGAAGATCGAGCTTGGTGTAAACGGATGCCCCTCGGAGTTGTTCCAGGGCGGCTGGGACCAGAGGAAGGGGATAGCGGAATTTAACTGTAGCTTGGTTGAGGATGCGGTAGTCGATGCAAGGGCGCAAGCCTCCGTCCTTTTTTCCCACGAAGAAGAAACTCGAAGCAGCAGGGGACACTGATGGTCGTATGAATCCGTGGTCGAGAGCCTCTTGGATGTACTCCTCCATGGCCTTCTGCTCCGGGATGGACAGAGGGTAGATCTTACCTCGCGGTAGAACCGCCCCAGGCAGCAGGTCGATCGCGCAGTCCCATGGCCGATGTGGGGGTAGAATGGAGGCGTGACGTTTATCGAAGACATCCTGGAACGCCCGGTAGGGAGAGGGGATCTCTGGAGAAGGTTCCACTGGTGGGCTCTCTACGGAGGTGGTGGTGAGTGGAACGGTCGGAGTGGTGGAAGGAACTGGAGATTTCGTCACGGAGGACAGACAACGCTGGAAACAGTCATGGCCCCACCGTAGAACCTCGCCGGTGGACCATTGGATGTGAGGCGAATGGGTCTCCAACCAGGGGCGTCCCAGGATGATCTCAGCCGTCGAGCCCTCCAGCACCAGAAAGGATATCTCCTCCCGGTGGAGCCAGCCGATCTCCAACCCCAGGTCAGGGCTGCGATGTCCAACCCGGCCGCGTCCTAGTGGTTGTCCCAGAATGGTTTGGACTTGAAGCTTGTGAGGGATGGTTCGTTGCCTGGTTTGTAGCCGGTTTAACGTGGACAGTGCAATGAAGTTGGCCGCTGATCCGGAGTCGATCAGCGCCTGGACTGAAATGGAACGGTTCAGATAAGTGATAGTGGCTGCTGTGAATTTCAAGGGAGAGATGGCCAATGGTAACTGGACTGTACTCACAGCTGGTCGAGGAGGGCGGACGGGACAGGAGGCGAGCAGATGACCGGAGGCTCCACAGTACAGACACAGCCCGTTGGTGATACGACGATTCCTTTCGGATACTGGCAGATGAGTGGTACCGACTTCCATGGGTTCTGGTGCTGGAGGACTGTGGTGGCGGGGCACAGGACGAGGAGTGGGAGGTGCAGGGCTGTCGAGCTGGCATGCAGTGCGTCGCTGATCGATGCGGATGGATCGCTGGATGATGCTCTCAAGACCGACGCTATCGTCATAAACCGCGAGCTGGAGGCGGATATCGGGATGTAGACCATGACGGTAGGCAGTGATGAGAGCAGACTCATTCCATCCGAGAGTGGCGGCGAGGGTGCGAAATTGCAGCGCATAAGAGGCGACGGACGATCTCCCTTGTCTCAGGCGGTACAGCTGGTCTTGAACGGAGATGGAGTGGGCTGACTGCGAGAACACCTCGGTGAAGTGGCCGGAGAAAGCGGCGAATGTCCGGGTAACTGGACCATGATCCTTCCAAAGGGCGTGAGCCCAGTTGAGCGCTCGGCCTCGCAGGAGTGAGATGAAGAAGGCCACTTTCGATCGTTCAGTGAGGAAGGATAACGGGTTCATCTCCATATAAAGCTCGCACTGCAAGAGGAAGCCGCTGCACTCCTCCTCCTCGCCTGAGAAGGGCGCTGGTTGGGCCATGGGACTGGCAGAGGCAGATGCGGAAGAAGTAGTCACAGGAGATGTGGCGAGTGCTGGAGTGCTGGTCCGGGGTATGATAGGAGAAGGTGGGGTCGGTGTAGCGCTGGTGCTCAGGGTAGATTGCTGCATTTTGTTGGTCTGGTCTTCTGTCACAGACTAGAAGGACACAGATGGATGAGTATAAACCAGGTTTATTGAGACAGGTGGTTTGGTAGACAGCTGGTAAGTATATTATGAATAAAGTTCGGTAGTGGAACAGGAAACAGTCTGATAATGGATTTCTTATCTTGAGTAGGGCTGAAAGCTGGAGAGCGGAGACAGCGGACTGATGACCAGAAGAAGACCGGGGACCAGGAGCGGATGAGAAGCAGACGGGGCTGGATGAAGCGGGTAAGTAGTCCTTTAGAAGTAAGCAGTAGCGTGGCGGGAGTCTGTAGCCGATGTGTCGACGAGACCAGACGGTGAGTGACTGTGAGGAGTGAGTTTATAAAGGGAGGATGATTGGGACGGTGATTGAAGCGGGCAGGTGACAGTGATTAGAATGCTGGAGAGCTGGAACGAGTGGGCGGAGTGAAGGTGTCTGGTGCTGACGCAGATGGATCCGTGACAGTCATATCGACACAGTTCAAGTTCCCTCGAAAGGGAATAATGTCAGAACTGAACTACATGATATTTGTGATGCAGTGCACTTGCTTTTTTTTACGGCAGACGACTCACATGACATGCATTTTCTGTATTGGTTAAGAGCACGTTGGTCAGTCCTTGTGTGTACTAGGGTTGTCATGATATCAGATTTTCTGATTTACAAGGGCTGTCACGATATTCTTTTTGGTCAAAAGAATTCACAGTAATGATGTATCGAGATATCTTTAGAGATCTTGAAAAAAATCTTGTCAGTCAAATGTATTTTAGTTTGGTTATTTTTTGTTTTGCTTTCTTTTATTAGCAAATTTCACAGTAAAAATCACAATATTGCATAACCAGGAGAGAGAAAATTCTGTCCAGTTACACAGTATTATAAATAAGTCTAAAACAACACAACTATTACCTTAACCTGTTAACTTGCAACCCCATTTGGAACCCAAATCCCAAAAATGGCATACCCAAATTAAAATTCATAGTTCATGAAGCCCTTGACATTGTAGATTCATTTGAAAGAAAACATTTGGCAGCTTGTTGTCATATCATCAGAATTAATTATATAAATGATACAATTTTTGGATTCATTTAAAAAAAAATAAACCATTTTATGTGATTTCATTTAGAAGGGACTAAAATGCTAATCGTTTTTAGCTTAGTACAGCATCAAAATACAATTTATGAGAATAACAGCATATTTTATTCCAAAATCATGTTATAGCGTCAGTCGAGTGATTGAAATAATTGCCTTCTGCGAACTGACGTGGTTTCTTATCACAGAATGAGGCAGAAATTGTTATTTTATAGTATTCTGCATCTGACACTGAGGGGTTGGAGGTAGACAAGCAGATGGGTGATTCGGCAGAGCAGCTTTCTCAATCTGCTGTACATAGTGTCAACGCCATGACACAGCATCTTGTTCCCTTCACAGGGAACTGGGTTGCATACGTAACCCCCGTGTTAGATTTTTTAAGTAGCAAAAACTTTCTGCAAATGATTTCCTTTATTTACGTGGTTTTAAAATGGTCATTATTGTGTGCTTCATTTAATGTTTTCTATGAGAGAAAAAAGTGCTTGTTTTCCTAAACTTTTTTGTTTTGTCTTTTAATTTGAAGCATTGCGCATTGTTCATAATGCTATTTTAAGTGCGCATTCTTGGCCATAATGTAGCGGGTGCACAGCGCGCATCCACTTTGATTCTCTCATCAACACAGATGCAGCAGTTTTTATTTTTGCAAATCATACATTATAACAAGGAAAAATATTAAAACATGAAGGAAATCATTGTGCTTTACATGAAGATGAAAAAACCTTCTTACCCCTTTTTTAAGGCTAATTGAAGTACTAAAGGATCAGACCTGTTTGCCCAATAGTGGCAAGAAACATACGTATATAATGTTTAACCGACGCTAATGTGTGAGGGTTTCTCCCATCCCCATTCAACGTCACTTCTCTCTTTTACTGCCCTGACAAAAACGTCGGTCTCATCGGCTGTGAACGCTCCTGGCGCGCGCCTGGTAAACCCGCCGTTATAATAACAATCCGTCATGCAACATGCGCACCTGTTCTTAAAGGGTATGTTGGATGGCGCTCTGATTGGTTTATTTCACGTTACGCCCAAACCACACCTATGAATAATGAAGCTACTTCAGACCAACCTCTTTTAAATTTGCAACAGGCGCAAGAGGCATTTATCCCGCCAGGAAAATAGCAACAGCGCCGGGACCCGCCCACAAAGTTACTTGCGCTTTGCGCTTTGACACTTGCGTTTCAGATCGTTAAAATAGGGCCCTGAGCTACAGTACAAAGCCATTTATAAAGAAAAAACAAACAAACAAAACAGTAATAAAAGTGACCCTATTATGAGATATTAGCTGTCAAATATTGGTTTATATAGCTGTTTGTGAATGTAAAAGGTCTGCACAGTTTGGAGAGTTAAAGTACACGATAAACGGAGCTATTGTACCTCAAAAGAAAAAAAAACGATTCTGAACTGCATGTTACAAGTGGTAAGTCTAGTCTTAAATCATGCACGTTCATATAGGTTTGTAACATAGTTTGCATAATGCCAGCCTATGGTTATCATTGGCTGCCTACGAACAATGCCCACCCTCAAACAATGTATCTGAGATCTGGAAGAGAATAGTTTGTGTTGTCGACATATCGATAATTTGCTGTTTTCTGAGCTGTGAAAGCAAATCCACTTTGCTCAAAATGATACAGTAAAACCGACACAATCTTAATGTATTATTGTGTAAGCTGATATTCAGATATGGTAATGAAGTTTTGACACACTGTAAGCATAGGACCAATCACAACAGACTGAGCCATCAGACCAATCAGAGTTGAGTAGGCTCTCTGAAAGGAAAGAAATCCTCAGCATTTCAGCACTGTAAAACATTTGTGAGAAATTTATGAGAAAATGTTTTGGACCTTTCATGAAAAACTCTTCTAGGAGACCTTCAAAACAAAAATTATTAACTTTTAAAATAGCATAGGCTAATAGGGGCACATTAAAACTGCCAAATTGCAACAACAACAAAAAACCTTTAAATCTATTGTTTTACACTATAAAAGAAAATAAGGTAAAATTGATTAGCTTTGATTGCAGGTTATAATGCAATTATGGTACATGTTGTTGTTTTTATTTTCAACAGTTGAATTGTATGCTGTGTATTTGTGTGTGTGTGTGTGTGTGTGTGTGTGTGTGTGTCTCAGGATCTCATCGCATCATTGAAACAGATTATGATGATGGTATAACAGTAGTGTCCTCAGGTGGGTGGGGGCAATGCTTACTCTGTTCGGAGAGTAGAAACCCAACACAGGGTGAGAGAGAAAGCTAATGCCACGTATTATTACTGCAGATGTGTACTGTAGAAAATACAGCTGTTTTTAATTTTCCTCTAAGCCTTTTATTTGTATAGAAGCCCATTAGTTGATATACAAATGAATATGATTCTTAATTGGCACAGATGAAAGATTAGGATGAAAAAGTTTGTTGACAATTGCTGTTTTATATTAGAATAATGGATTATAAGAAAAGATTGAGTTTTTGAAGTACAGAATACGGTCTCTCTCCTCCTATGCTGGGCTGAACTGTAGTGTTAATTTGAACCACAGAAGCACCTCACATTAATTGTGCATGGACACTGTGGAGAAAATGACTCTGTAAGTCAATCACTCTCTATAAAAACACACTTTTATTACCTTCATAAGACCTGCTTAATTTTGTTGTCAAGCTGGAATAGCAAAAGGATAAAAGTGATTATAAGATTGTATTACAGTATGTAACAGGATTAATATGGGTCTTATGACAATGGATGTTATCTCTGTTGCATGCCTCTAGAAAAGCTTGCTATAGAATTTAGTGCATAAAAGAACAATATGCTATGGCTGATATTTTAAAATTGTATGTTTTATACTATGTTCCATGCATATATTTAACAAATGAGTACTGCAAGTTGACCTGCAGTAAACACTGTATATTGTTTTATGCTATAGAGTTGATAATGAGACCTTTTTTGTCATTTATGTTAATTATATATGCAGTAATATTTAGTGCAATGTTTATTTACATGTCTACAGTGCAGATATTCGAGTGCTTTCTATTTAAATTCTGTTTATTAATTTAATATACTGTATATATATATATATATATATATATACTTGTTCAGTGCTTTGATGAGCAATCAAAGTTTATCAGATGCATGAGTCATGAATTCTAGCGCTCAATGCTTAATTTAGCATTATTCTAATTTCTTTCAACTTTAATTGGGAGAAAATTAATTTCCTTCCCAAATCTACATTTCAATATAACTGCAAGTTATAAATGTAAAAGTTTCTAAAAAAAGATTTCTCTTACAAAGATCATCAAATCCTGACCACAACTCAATCTGTTTCTCCAGTTCTACATGTTAAATTGTGCTCAATTTTCATAAGTGAACTGTAGTTGTGGAATCTGTATGTTTCAGTGAAAATTATATAGAAATGATACATACACTTTTTTACGTCTTGTTAATACTTTGTTTCACATCATGATTTGATGAATAATTAGCCTAATTAAAGCTCTAATCTCTGCATTTTTAACCAGCAAATCCGTCATCTGTTGTACTTTAGTATGATCTTTAGTTGTTTACAGTTGTATTCTGGGAAATTAATTTATAACATTGAAACAGTTTTCCCTTTCGTTGTCACTCTGAGTTCGGGTCGGATGACAACGAATGGGGTTTCGCTTATAAAGCCTATCGACATCCAGTATACAAAACAAGCCAATGACAAAGAAATGCCATGGGTATGTGGAATTTGCATAGCTTATCTCCGCCTTACCTCAGGGGTATAAAGGAGGACACCGGCAACATGCAGATATGTTTTCGTTTCGGAGCCAAAAGTATCTCTTCACTCCACAGCCATTTCTGACTCTCTACGAGATCTGCAGCGAGTTCACATTGCCTGCTGATCTGTGCAGTGATCTGCCAGTGAGTGTGTTTCTCCCTGTTCGCTTCAACATCACAGAGTTTTTTTCTTCTCTCACAAAAGAGCTTGCTTCTTTTTAAAGACGGCTCGCCTGTGCATTTCTGGTTGCGGTCAACTGATTTTCTGACGGGCACATTTTGATGGGCACAGCAGTGTTTGTGGATGACTCACTTCTACCCGCGGTAATGCAACCATTCCGTCATTACTGTGGAGACTCAATGATCTCGTTAGTGAGAGAGTCTCCTCCACACCCCGATCTAACACTCTCCAAGTGAGGTGCTACTTCGGCTGGTGGCCAGGGTGACCTGAGGGTGTGAGTGTGGAACAAACCCCAGAATGTTTGTCCGTGGACCACGCCCCCACTCTTCAGTGACGAGTGTTCAGGGGATTCCCCTGGGGTTATTTTTGGATGCCCTTATGGTTTCCCCTGACTCTCCAGAATCAGATTTGTTTTCCATTGCGGCATCACAGGGCGAACTAGAATTTTCAGGAAGTGAAGATGAAGTAAAGACAGTGCTGCCTCTTTCGGGTGTGATATGGCATTTGTTGAGTCAGACCCTAAGATGACGGCCATGCTTTCCCGGGCCGCTGCGAGCATCGGACTAGAGTGGAACCTTTCACCCTGTCCTGAGCACTTGCTGCTGGACGATTGGTTTTTGGGTGTGGCCGCTGACTCCTCTCACCTTTTTTCCCGATGTGCATCAGAAGACCCCCATGTCTTCCAGTGATCCCTCGTTCATCTCCTGTGCCCTTCCTCCCTTCGATGGGGCCGCTGCCCATGGGTACACTGGGGTCCTCCAGGTTGAAATCTTTGTCACGATGCTACTGTGTCCTCAGAGTGCTTCTTTTCGGCGCAATCCTAAACACCTGTCCGAAGCCTGTAGTTTTTCATCTACACTTGTGGTGAAATTATATAGCGCTACAGGACAGGCAGCCGCCTCACTGCATGCCATGGTCATTTTGCTGGTCTTAAGACAATGCTGCCACTTTCGGGTGTGCATATGACATTTGTCGAGTCAGATCCTGAGATGACGGCCATGCCTTCCCGGGCCGCTACAAGCATCGGACTAGAGTGGAACCTTTCACCCTGTCTTGAGCACTTGCTGCTGGACGATTGATTTTTGGGTTTGGCCGCTGACTCCTCACACCTTTTTCCCGATGTGCATCAGAAAATTTCGATATCCTCGAAGACCCCCATGTCTTCCAGTGATCCCTCGTTGATCTCCTGTGCCCTTCCTTCCTTCGATGGGGCCGCTGCCCATGGGTACACTGGGGTCCTCCCGGTTGAACTCTTTGTCACGATGCTACCGTTTCCTCAGAGTGCTTCTTCTCGGCGTAATCCTAAGCAACCGTCCGAAGCCGCTACAGGACAGACAGCCGCCTCACTGCATGCCATGGTCATTCTGCTGGTCTTCCAGACCCAGATACTCATGGACATGCATGAGAGCGGGACTGACCCAGGGCTCTGTTGTGATTGACACCCCCATATCCCAGGTCGGCCTCTTCGGCAGTGCAGTTGAGGTCTTTTCCCAACAGTTCTCAACTGGCCACGAGCAGACTGAGGCTTATTCTGCCCAGACGGCCCGCCATCGGCTCAGATCCCTCAGTCTGCCCACTGCCGAAGGTGCCCCCTTGCAGCGCCCACCTCACCCGTTCACGGCTTGGATATGTGCCCAAGGTTCCTACCACTCCCTTCTGGGACCAGGTGGTGAACCTGCAAGCGCTGCCCCTTAAGGAGGCAGACCCAGCCTTGGCACTGCTCTGTCCAGTACATGCTCTCTGTGCCTATGTAGACAGAACACAGTGTTTCAGGACCTCAGACCAGCTCTTTGTCTGTTATGGTGGGAAGCTGATGGGAAAGGCTCTCTCCAAGCAAAGGATGTCTAACTAGTGGACACCATTGCTTTGACAGCACCAAGGTTGACCATTTCCCCTTGGTGTGACTGCCTACTCCACCCAGAGTGTGGCATCCTCTCTGCCTCTAGCGCATGGTGCCTTGCTAACAGACATCTGCAGAGCTGCACGCTGGGCGTCACCCAACACATTTCCAGATTCTACAATCTCCGAGTGGAGCCAGTGTCCTCTCGTGTACTCAGCTAGTACCGGACCTGCTCAGGTGTCTTCACTTACTCGCCATTCCACTCTACGGACTGGATATGTACAACATTTTTCTGAGGTGAGCTTTTTTTCCCTCCTCTAGCACTCCTGACGTCGGTGCCAGTGTCTATTGCCTGTGTGTCGGCTAGGTGCCTCCTGTGTGCATGTTCCCTCCTCTGAGCAACCCCCACATGTGTATTTCCACTGTAGGCCTCTTTGAGCATGTGTCTTTCCCTTGGCAAGCCACCTTTCCACCCCTGGGGTTGAAATATTCCACCTGCAGCTGGACACCCTAGTGTTCTCCATATGCTTCCTGTGGGTCATATGTGTATATGTATACACAATTACTGCCAACCCCCGCAAAACTGCATATTTCCTCTAAGCTATGGGATATGCTCCCAAATGTACCTTGGAATTCCTGTGCTAAATAGGAGTCCTTCGTCCATGCCAGTCTCACGATAGGGATCTCAGATTTACACAGGGCACTGGAAGATAGCCAAGAAGGTGGTGTGATTAGACTCGTATCCCCATTCATTGTCATCCGACGGTACTCGGAGTGACAACGAAAGGGAACATCTCGGTTATGTTCTGTCTTCCTGCCCTTCCTGCGGGGATCACGTGAGTTCAGTCTCGGCTCCTGAGCGAAGGAACATATCTTCATGTTGCCGCCGTCCTCATTTATACCCATGAGGTAAGGCGGAGATACGTTATGCAAATTCCGCAGACCTATGGCATTTCTTTGCCATTGGCTTGTTTTGTAGATAGGCTTTCTAAGCGAAACCCCATTCGTCGCCATCCGACGGAATGTCTCCGTAACCGAGACTTTATTTGCTTGACTTGAGTACCGTTGGGCACCAAGCCTTAATGCATCTCTAATTAGTTTTTTGTCGGTTTTTGAATGCTATGTCAAGAAATACATAAAAACAAAGAGAGAGGAAAATGTTTATGGAGCCACTAAAGAGACATGGTGATGGTAAAAATATTTGTGAGGACGCAAAAGTTATGTGAGGGAATGAAAAGCATTTAAATATTTTTTTTCCCTCCCATATCATATTTTTATCATCACGATATATTTTTTTAAATCACAAAATGTACCACCTTTAGTTAACTTTGCATTGGATACATGAAACCAATTGATTTTGAAAATACACACATTTAAGGTGACAGAATCAAATAAACATTTGTAAAAGTACACTCTTACAGTGCCTTTTTTGTGCTTGTTTTCTTTCTAGCATGTGTAGAGCAGTAGCAGTTGTGCTGATACCTCAGCACAATCCTTTGGCATGAATTGTTGTAGTAGTTTTAGAAATGTGAATGTGGGTGTGTTATTGTCACTCTCTGATGTCCCTCCAAAAAGGTTTATTGTTTTAACTGGAACAAGTTTGTAACACAAAATGTATATGTATTAAAGCAGCAGAGAGGAACTCCAGAGACAGAGAGAGGTCAAGCACACTGACCGTACCTGAGAGGCAGGCGGCCATACAGCATCGCTCTCGGTCAGTATCCCCACACAGAGAAGACCAATGTAGAGTCCGGTCACGACCTGCACATGTCCCTATGCAGAGGTGAGCCACATCAATTGGATACCACATATTTACATGTTTAACAAATTCAACCTGACTGACCACTAACTGGGGTCACTTAATTTTCAGCAGTGTTACTGCTGTTGGATGAGAACTCAACTTGCCTCAGGCATGACAGGTGTCTGAAATCACTATCAAATCACAGCAATCATATTGTTCTGTTCTGTCTAAAAATGCTTCAGTTACGGTGAGAAAAATGAAATGCACAGAGAAAGCAAAACAATGCTTCCAGAAGTGTGCGGACCCGTGCCCAAGGTACTTGACGCCGGGTGACACACGAGCTGTGCGTTTTTTGTTTCAGTGAAGAGCACGCACTGGCAGTTTTTGAGGGAGATGCCTGTGCAAACTGTGAGAATTTTCCTTTGAAAACACTCCGCTCTCATCTAGCCCTCTTCTCGAGTGAAGAGGGTTTAACATCTGGATCTTGTGGATTGGGTCCCACTCGTGTTGAGGCAGAGCGGCGACTCGCATCTTGGGGTTACCAGATGGAGCTCTCTGATCATTTTGAGAGGGGGATATCCCTCTCAGACGGTCCGACGGCTGACAAGGGTGAGCTACAGGTGAAGGATTTCTCTCCTCTTCTTAGCCCAGCTGTGAATGCTCTGTTGGATAAGCAGGTAATGGCTGACGACGGTGAATGATGATAATCATTCTGAACCCTCTCTGCCACTCTGCTCGGTGTATGCTGATATAGTGGATGTTATGGATCATGCTGTGGTCAGGCTGCAGTTGCCATGGCTGCGCGATAGGGGAGAGATCGCTCGCAGAAGGCTTGACGATCATTTTCTCCTCGGCCATAGACCACCAGCTCGAGTAGGCCTTTCATTCCTTCCAGATCATACCGAGATCGGGAAGGCATGGAAGAACCCATATTCTGCCCGTATCCATCAACATCAGTGGGTTAGATTCGGTGATGTTGAGGGGATAGGGGAACATGGATATGTGTTGATGCAAGACGTTTGCGAACTATCTCGTGTCTGGGTGGGCATCAACACTGAGAACTCCAACTCTGCCATTCAAACCTTTAAAAGCAACATCCAATTTGAATGGCAGAGCATAGACGGCAGCAGGTCAGGCCGGTTCTGCCCTGCACACCATGGCTGTGTTGAAGGCGTATCAGGCCGATCTGCTGGGGGATTTCGACCAGGGGGCAGGGATGTCGAGGCAGGCTTGCTGAGCTCCATTGCACCACAGATCTTGCTCTCTGGGCCACTAAACAAACCGCAGCTGCAATCGCCTGGTCGATGGTGGCGATAACGGCCACTTAGAGACATCTGTGGTTAAACTTGGCTTATATCGGGGAGAAAGAGAAGGGCTTTCTCCTTGATCCACCGGTTTCGCCCTCAGATACAGATACAATACAAGAATTATTATTATCCATTACAATTATTTATTAGCCCTCTTCTCTTCCACAACTCCCCAAGCGCTTCTTACATCAGGCCTGAGGTTGGGCCCATGCCAATTTTCCAGTGGAATATGATATTCTGATGGCCCGCCTTGGCTTGGTTAGTGAGAGTGTCTCTCTCAGGCGTGTATTGGTGGTAGACTTCATGGTCATAAATAACTGTGTGGTGAGTCTTCACTTTGCACGCCGCAGGTGAGATGAGTTGGTCTTTTTAAAGAGTATTTTTTGTGCAACTAACACTAAAATGTATGTCTCTACAGACTTCTTTCCCTGTATACAATTATGGGGTCATGTCAATGTCTAATGTACATAAGGTAAGGTAAAAAAGGGCCCTCATTCTATGTTGAACTATGAACTATGTTAACAGCGAAAGCTTCCTCTCATTATGAGAGCATTTTTGGGGCTGTCGCTCATTCCTTCTGGAATGTTAGCACAGCACTTAGCAGCAGAGCAGCATTTTAATAAAATGATAACGTTGTATGCTGCCGCTTGGTTTATTCTCTAATCACATCTGTTTTAGCCCTCGGGTTATTAGCCACCTCAGGGTAGGGTAGTTTGTCTTCTCTCTTAGTAATAATACTTTTATTTGAGAGTATATAAGATTTCTCTCTAGAGACTGATGCTGGAGCTTCAGACAGATTGTATGCCCGGCCAACGTGGCTGTCTGACATTTTCCTGCTGCTACTCCGAGCCTAAGGTAAATCTATGCTTATAGGCTGGCCCTCACCAGGGCCACCTCAAAAGCTGGCCTTGGCTATACTATGGATAGTGGAGGCGTCCTGCTGAAACATTTCTGCCTCTGACCATTCAGTATGTGAGCGTAGGCTTTTTTAGCATTCCTAGATGACAGCCTCCTCCCATAATAGGGAGTCATTCAGACAAGGCCCACCCTCTTCGCTGCATTCGGAGGTGCTAAGAGTAATGCTGGTTGGTAGTAAGAGGCATGATTGTGAACGATCTAGGGATAAGCCTCCAGTAAGGCCTCCCCAGGACAATGGGTCTTTTCTAGCATGGCCGTCTTTCGCTCTGTGAAGTGATTGTTTTGTTTGCCAGACTCCACCGTACAGAGCTAGTCTGTGGATTTGGGTTCCACTCAGCTCCCTGAGCTACTGCTCAAGCGATGGGTTGAAGGTGGCTGACTGCAAGCGAGCCCCACTCCCTACATGAAATTCTCAGGGGCAGGTGGTTGTTACTCCCCAATTGATACAGGGTAGTTCTGAATACTCAATTCTCAGCTCTGTATCAATCTACCTCACACCACAATGGCTCAGGTCGAGCGTAGAGTTCTAATTTTGTTCTGGTTTTTGAATTACGCTCCCTTGAAGCTAGGGCATTGCCAATAAGCTGATGCCCATGCATATGGTAGGCCCCTCAATCTGAAGCCTCCACTGAGGCAGAGTGGTGTATGTTGTACTCCCTTTGCTTAAAGAGTGTTGCACTCTTTCTGAGTACACTGCCATGTGCAATGTGTTTTGGCACCAGGATACTGTAGGCTCTGTGTAAACAGCTTATCTGTCAACCAAGGCTGCACAGTTAAGTAGTAGGCCTCTGCAGCCAGCTTAACTCATGTGGCTGGCCTAATGGTTGGATAGAAGGCCTTAAACAGGCCTCCTCGGAAGGGAATGTTGTGGGGCGACCAGTTAGCTAGCCTTATATAGGCCTCCCGTGGGTGGCCTCAATATTTGTGCTGGTAGTAGAATGGTTCCAAACAGTATATGCTTGTAGCAAATTAGACTGGCTATCAGCTAGTTGGCCCAACCAGGTCTGTATAGGATAGGGCTTACCCAGCCAGATAGGATTGACCACTGTCAGACAGTTGGCCTTGTCTGGGCAATACAACAATTAAAGAAAAACAGCCTTAAATAAATGTCTTAATCAGCTTTTTAAAGTCTCCCAGTGTTAGTGCATTTCTGAGGAAGCACATTCCATAGCTTGGGGGCTTTGTATGAAAAGGCTCTTTCCCCAATGGTCTTAAGCTTACATGAAGGTTGATGTAGTAAAAAAGAATTAGAAGAACACAGAGAACATGATATAGGAGTATAAGGGCTAATGAGATCACAAAGATACTCTTGCGCAGTCGCATGTAGTGCTATGTATGTTAATATAAGAATTTTAAAATCAATTCTCGCATTTATGGTAAGCCAGTGCAACTGTGAAAGCACCGATGTAATGTGTTCATGAGGAGAAGTATAAGTGAGCACACGGGCGGCAGAATTTTGAACGTACTGTTGCCTGCTCAGAGATTTAGCTGGAAGGCCAGAGAACAAGGCATTACAATAATCTAACCAGTTGAAATAAAGGCATGTATAAGCCTTTTTGTGTCTGCAAAAGAAAGAAAAAGGTCTAAGCGAGCAACGTTTCTCAGATGGTAAAAAAAAATAGATGTTTTTTTAGAGATGTTTTTTTATATATATATATATATATGCTTCAAATGTTAGCTGTGGATGAAAAATTACACCAAGATTCCATACCTGTAAAGTTGGCCTACGAGTACCCGGCACTGTACCAATCTGAATCAATTCAGTTTTGGAGCTGTTCAGCTTCAGGAAGTTATTCTGCATCCATAAATTGATCTCTGCTAGACAACTACACAAAGCTGTTAATGAGCAATGAACATAAGGACTAGTGGTGATGTAAATGTGCGTATCATCCGCGTATCAGTAAAACCCAAGACCATGTTTCCTGATTATCTGCCCAAGTGAAAGCATGTAAATGTTAAATAAAATTAGACCCAACACTGAACCCTGAGGAACTCCCTGTCGAACTGGCATGGCGTCAGATTTTTAATTACCCAAGCTTACAAACTGGGCACGATTCGTTAAATAAGACTGAAACCATCTGAATACTGCTCCAGAAACACCCAGCCAATTTTAGTAGAAGAGAGTGACATATAGTATCAAAAGCAGCACTGATGTCTAATAAGACCAAAATACTGCATGCAGCGCATGCACCTGAAATTGCCGCAGTAAGTAAACCATTTACAACCCTCACTAGAGCTTTCTCAGGACTATGGCCTTTTCTGAACCCAAATTGAAAAGATTCAAAAAACTGTTCAGTGATAGGTGATGATTTATATGAATAGCCACAACACGCTCCAGAACTTTAGCTAAGAATGTAAGGTTAGAATTAGGCCTGTAATTGGACAAATCGGAAACAACACAACCAGGCTTCTTAGTGTAATGGGAGCTGAACTCAATGAAAGATTCTCAATCAAATTCATATGAGGGCAGTTTGATGCATGGCAGTTCATAATAACCGAGCAGGGAATCGGATCTACAATACTGGTAGTTGAATTCATGGACTTAACTGTACTTATAAAAATGCGACTGAAAACCATATCAAAGTTTGAAAAGGTAGTGGTCGGAGGACTTAAAGGATGAATATCAATTAGCTCAACTGGGGTGATAGAGATTAAAGAACTTTATAATTCCTCAATCTTTCCAGTGAAATCTTGAAGCTACTTATTACACTGGTCAACAGTGAACAATTAACAATGGCCTTGATTGGTCTGAGAAGATTGTCAACAGTCTTAAATAAAGATTTAGAATTTGTTGCAGCATTTCCAATAATGCTTGAATAATAGTTCTTATGTGCAGTATTCAGGGCAGAATGGTAAGCAAACTGTTGTTGAGTGAATAAAAGTCTATGTACCATCAGGTCAGGTTTTTGTACTGCCGTTCTTATTGCCTTCCAGCAGCTTCCATTAGAAGTAACTCCAGCATGTACCATAGACAGAGTTTCATAAATGTAACAACCCGTTCTTGCACAGGTGCAAACCCGTCCAGAAGTGCAGATAACATGTAATTATAGTTCTCAACAGAGTTAGTAATTGGAAACCCAGAGAGAGAGAAGTCAAAAAGAGAGTGAAGTCCATGTGCTTGACATTTCGAAATTTAATAATGCGTTTAGAAATGGATCTTGAAGACATAACATTCATGTCAAAAGTAATAAGTCTATAAGCACTTATACTCTGACCTGTAATAAACTGACCTGTGTGAGTAATCCAGCACTTGCGGGTAGTTCGGTAGAATTAAATGTCCTTATTCCTTAAAGGGTTAGTTCACCCAAAAATGAAAATTAAGTCATTAATTACTCACCCCCGCATGCTGTTCCAACCCCGTAAGACCTTCGTTCATCTTCGGAACACAAATAAAGATATTTTTGATTGAATCTGAGAGCTAGATCAGTCCTAGATAGACTGCCTAAGGGACTGGCTCTTGACGGCCCATAAAGTCATTAAAGAAAAGGTTTAAATATTCCATGTGCCTACAGCGGCTCAATTATAAGTTTATCAAGCGACGAGACTACTTTTTGTGCGAAAAAAACATAAATAACGACTTTATTCCACTATTCTATTACTTCCTTATGGGCGCATGCGCGAGAACTGAGACGAGGACGTTCTCATTCGTCTACTTTTTGTTACCGGCTGCTCACCACTTAGGAGTTTTACCGCCACCTACCGTATAAAATGATGATCCATATATAAGGCGCTCCGGATTATAAGGAACACTGTCGTTTTTTGAGAAGATTAAAGGCTTTTAAGTGCACAGCGCGCATCTTCCTCTGCTTGTAAACAGAAAGTTTTGCGCTTCCAGCTATATCAGCACATCATCTTATACGGTAGGTGGCGGTAAAACTCCTAAGCGGTGAGCAGCCGGTAACAAGAAGTAGCCGAATGAGAACGTCCTCGTCTCAGTTCTCGCGCATGCGCCCATAAGGAAGTAATGGAATAGTGGAATAAAGTCGTTATTTATGTTGTTTTCGCACAAAAAGTAGTCTCGTCGCTTGATAAACTTATAATTGAGCCGCTGTAGGCACATGGAATATTTAAACCTTTTCTTTAATGACTTTATGGGCCGTCAAGAGCCAGTCCCTTAGGCAGTCTATCTAGGACTGATCCAGATCTCAGATTCAATCAAAAATATCTTTATTTGTGTTCTGAAGATGAACGAAGGTCTTACGGGGTTGGAACAGCATGGGGGTGAGTAATTAATGACTTAATTTTCATTTTTGGGTGAACTAACCCTTTAATATCCACAGGACTAGCGTGTGATATCTCTCTCTTTAGCAATCGCGACCTGCTTCATAACCACTGTAATGTTAAAAAAAACATGAATGTTTGCACTCATCCATAAACATCATTAGATCCATCAGCTTGACATCAAGTCCCATCATTCAGCTCATCACTGCATCATAAATCAACGCCTTTGTTATTGTTGGAATCCGCGCCCTCTTGTGGAAAAAAAAAACTACATATTGCGCCTTTAACTGATACAATAGGTCCAGATATTTCAGCCAAGTACGTTGTGGTACGTTGTTGTATTTATATCCAGACGGAGCACACATATTCAAATCAAGATCATTGTCAGTCATTGTCTTTGTGCAATGTTTCACTGAGACAAAGAATGTCAATTTTTTATGGAGAATAGTATCAGTGATAAGTGCCGTTTTATTGTTTATTGACCAAGCTTGCGCCCTAACACAACTAAAGTGTTACCTTTCTGCTTCTGGTTCCCTCCTGTAACCATAGCCTACCATGCAGGCCATGTGCTCCCCTCACTGAGGGTCACTTTGAGTTCTCAGCATCCTTAGTCTGGTCAGATGGTTATAGGTATCTTTTGAAGCCTCCCAGTTAGATCAGTCCTTAGGCCTTCTCTTATGTTTGAATTATAAGTGCTGGTTAGATCCGTGGATTGAGCAGAGAAACTCCCCTCACTAGCAAGGGTTGTAACCACAATGCTTCGCAGCTTTGATGCCATACCTAAAGGCAAGTGACCAGAGGCTCTGCCTTCGGACAGACAGGAAGTGGCCAGACTGAAGTGTCCAATGTAAGGACCGTCCTGGTGGCATTTCGGGTGGTACATTCCCCTGAATACAGTGACTGGCTGGGTTTCCTTTGGGTTCCCTAGCCACATTCCCTAGAAGGGACCCATTCTGTTTGGGTCCCTTCTATTGACCCACCAATTTCAAGCTGTGGTCATAGGCCCTTGAGCAGACCCAGGTAGACCTCTCATCAAACGTAGTGTATGGAGGTTTTACTGTGAAGCATATAGCTTGGTCTATGACCATAGAGAATGCTGTCACTGAAAGCCCAATGTAACCTGAGAGTGAGTGGTTCTTGCATTTCAATTGAACTTGCTGGTTCTGACAGTTGTCACTGCCAAATGGTATGCAATCCCCTTTGGTGGCGTTGGTAGATCGTTCCCCAAAGCGTCAATCGACGCAGTGCGATTTCCCTTTCGAAAGGGAATGTCTAGGTTATGACTGTCACACCTGAGGCTTTCCCCAAAGCCTCAATCGGCGCATTATCTCGTTCCCTGTTCTCAGAGAATAAGAGTTTACAGTCGTAATCTAGATGACGTCATTGACTGGCGACTCCTCACCCCTGCTCACACGCCCTGTTTCCTTGGTTAAAAATCGCAATTTTCTCACGATTTACAAATAGTTGGAAAGATTTGGGATGTTGTAAGTAATGAACTAAACAAAATATATAACATTGACCTAGTGATTTTTGGATATTTTACTGCAAAAATCCTGCATATTGTACCTTTAATGTTATATTGTAGGAATTTTATGCTGGAGGTGATATAGCTGTGTAAAGTGTCTTGCCCTATAGAGGATGATTTATGTGTGCTATGTCCTTCCTCCTATCATCAGGAGTCTGGATGAGATCCACAAAAACCATCATCATTCCTGCTCTCCCTCTCGTTACCATGACTCCCACCAGGAACATCGCTCCGGAGATTCGGACTATGAATATTCAGAGGACAGGTATCGCTATTTTAGTGCTTAATGCTCCAAATACAGATTTAAAAATGCGTGTGTTTGTGGAAAACATTGTAACTCAGCTCTCTACATTGATTTGTGCCGTTTTATTATTTTAATGCTTTAAAGCTATATTTAACTGCATAATTGTATTCACACCTGGAACTTTTTACTATTAATGATAAGTCAAGAACATTTGATGTTTTAGAAACGGAGTTTGACTTGATTTTCATATTGTCAACACAATGTTTTATGCTATTACTTTACTAAATACTAATACTACTAAAATGACTAACAGCCATAGTTTTTAGTCATTCCCATTAATACTAGTTAAAATATTGCTAAATACATGTCTATTATTTTCTACACATTTTCTTTTTTTCTTTTCTTTTTTCCTCACCATCCTCTTACTTTTCTTTTATGTTTGGTTGTCAAATTTTCAATGTTTCACCATCACCATGGCAACTTCAGCGAGGTCCTGGAGGTGCACAGATCAATCCGAGGTGGGAGTGCTGAGTGCCTGCATACAAACAGGTAAAAATCCAGAGCTGTGAATCAAACCCTCACTGTAAGCTGCCTCCCTGAGTTATCTGTATCTTAGAATCCCTTGCGTTTCTATGTTCCTTTTGTTACTTATTTCTTGACAATTTTTAGAGCATACAAATCATTTGACAAAAACATATAATCAACCAAATGAGGATTTGCTGCAATGCTTATTTATTTATGCCTAATTCAAGTTCCTTTTCCTTTTAAGAATGTTGTTTTCTATGCTTGCCATTTAAAAAATAATAATTTTTGTGTGTTTGCTTGAGTAATAATTCTCATTATTTTTTGCTCTTTTTGATGCCTGCTTATTTGTGCTAATTAAATTAGGAAATTAGCTAGGCACTGTAACACACTTCCCCCAAAGATGCCATTGTTAGTGAATGGTATACATAAAGATATTTACAGGTAAGCTGGTTGAAACTAACCGAGTATCAATGTTGTGCTTGATCATATTCCAATTCTGTTATTGAAGCTTTCCAGACCCTTGTGATATTGCAAAATGTACCTCTGATTAGTGTAATTTGTGTGCTGTTTTAGTCCTTACATAGATTGTTATTCATCCCTTTCATTGTCCTGTACTCTCAAGGGTGTCTCATACAACTTTTCACCTCTGTACTGTAGTTAACAATGTTTTCCTTTAGAAGTAACTGTATGTATATTATTAATTGTCTTTGTTGAAAGAGTTTAATGGGAAAAGGCAGATTAACTACCATTCAGGGCAATCTTTTGGTTTGCAAACGCATAATAAGTTTCTTACTTTTCAACCTGAATTCAAAATAAGGATGAGTTATCGATATATTTTTAGGTAGTCCAAAGGCCAGTGAAGATTAATGAGAAGACGCAATAAATCACAATTTTAAATTGACTAAAGACAAAGAATTACAATATTTTACAAATTACAATATTTTTATTTCATGACCCAAATATAAATATAGCATTTTACACTGAAGTTGACAACCCCATCTCACCGATAAGTAGGCATGTGCCGATATCAAATTTTCATGCTGCGGTTAATTGAAGAGCTTTTATCACGGTATACGGTATTATCACGATATTTTAATGAAATTAATATTTTAATGCTCAAGAAAAACAGATGCATTGTGGGTCTCTAAAAAAAAAACCCAACTTTTTTAAATAGTTAATTTTAAACTATTTAAAGAATTTTTTTAAAGTTTAGTGACAACATGTTACAATGTTTATGATACAATGACTGGTAGGTTACTGTTTGTATTATTCAATTAAATTCTTGGATTTGATTTCAGTCTTAATGCAATATTGACTCTTTTGGATAAATATTAGGTAGGCCCCAGTCTTTTAATATTTCTCAAGAAAAAATAATACAGATAATGCTGTAAACATACAGAGAGAAATTAAATATAATATTTAGCAAAAATACTCCTTGTTATTTTTTTCTATTCAACTAATTTGCTGGACATTAAATGGCTTTCCTGAGGTAAATGTAACGTTTTGTGACACAACTGTTACTGACCTGCAGTGTTACTGACCTCTTTCCGTGTTTAAAAACACTTATTGATCGTTATTATGTATAAGTAAATATACCTTTCGGTAAGTTGTACTGTATCTTTAAATAAAAACGAAAGTAACATGATCGGCTTACTTGAACTGAGGAGCAACGATCTGTGATCAGAACCTAAGAGCTGATTTATCAATAACAACTTTCATATCAAAAGTAATCTGCTCTGTCTAGTCTGTCGGTGTCCGTGTCCTCTTTGCTCTGTGATTTTTCTCTGTGGGAGAGTGTGTGAAAAGTGTCAAATGCGTTAAGCGCCCTTCAGACAGGACGCGGAATGCGCGGCGCTGACCGCTTGGTTCAACGTTGCCCTTCAGATACAACGCGATTTGCCATTTTACAAATAAAAAGTTGAACTATTTTGAACTTTAACCCTGGCGTGTGTTGGTCGATGCAGGTCGATGCAGCAGCAAAACATCCCTGCGCGTCGCGCGCGTATTCCGCGTCCTGTCTGAAAGTCTCAAGCTGAATGTCTGAGAGTTGGCAGCCCTGCAGGGATAAATCGTCGTGAGCGTTCCGCCATGCTTCTACTCCATGTGAGGATTGTTTGACTAGTGTGCACTGTCGCATGCACACAGTGCTTATGTGGGGATTGTTTACATCAGAGTGCGTGCGTGTTTTGCGCAGCATATACGCAGTGTTTGAGCGGTTGATGGAAAATAAGTTAATGCACGCTCTAAAAGTCTAAATTCGAATCCATTATTTTTCACGGTATTTTGAAGAGCCCGCGATAACAATATCGTGCATATTCATTACCGCGATTTATCGCATTACCGATTACCGGCACATGTCTACCGATAAGTCATACACTATATGGACAAAAGTAATGGTACACCTGACCATTACACCAACTGGGGCTGTAATGACATCCCTTTCTAAATACAGTCATTAATATGGAGCTGTAATAGCTTCCAGTCTTCTGGAAAGACATTCCACAAGATTTCGGAGTGTTCTTGTGGGAATTTTTACCCATTCATCCGGTAGAGCATTTGTGAGGTCAGGTGTTGGACAAGAATCCTGGGCTCACAATATTCATTCCAGTTCATCCCAAAGGTGGAATTGAGGTCAAGGCTCTGTGTGGGCCAATTAAGTTCTTCCTCAACAAAATCACCCAACCATGGACCTTGCAATGTGCTGTAACGGCAAAAACCACAGAAGCAGTAATGCAAGTGATGGTGAATTTATTACTCAGTCCACGGTCAGATAAACACAAAGACAAGACTGGTGACGCAGGAACTAGATGGTCAGGGTCCAGGTGGTGAGTCCAGAAGTGAAGTGAAGTGAAGTGAAGATCCAGTTGAGGTGATGAAATCCACGGCAGTGATAATCCACACGAACACGAACAGGAACACGAACCAGATAAGAGTAGACACGCCGACAGGAAGGATCTTTACACATGCACACACGAAGGACATCAAACAACGATCTGACAATGAGAGGAGAAAACTGTGAGTATAAATAGGGGATTGAATGAGCTGCAGCTGGTGAGTGGATGATTATCAGCTGGAGTGCTGATCAGCTTGATCGCTGATCAGCAGAACGGAGTGGTAACGCCCACTCACACACACCCACACAGAGAACAACAGAAACACGAGACAAGAAGGAATCAATGAATTTATGAACCGTGACAGTACCCCTTCTCCTAAGAACGCCTCCTGGCGTTCCTAGACTCCCTTACCTGTCGATTGTAATCATCAATAAGGGAATGATCCAGGATGTCTCTAGCTGGTACCCAACTTCTCTCCTCCGGACCGTAACCTTCCCAGTCCACCAAGTACTGGAATCCGCGTCCCCTCCGCCTCGAGTCCAGAATACGATTTACCGAATAAGATGGTTCCCCTTCTACGAGACGCGGCGGGGGAGGAACTGGGACTGGCGGATTAATACGAGAATAAAACACGGGCTTGATTTTGGATACATGGAAGGCGGGATGAATCCTCCTGTACACTGGAGGCAATTTGAGGCGGACTGTCACCGGACTAATGATCTTGGTGACAGCAAACGGGCCAATAAATTTGGGAGCAAGTTTATTAGAAACGGAGCGGAGAGGAATGTTCTTGGTAGAAAGCCACACTTTTTGACCAACGACGTATACGGGAGGCTTTGACCGGTGGCGATCGGCCTTGGCCTTGGTGCGCTCCCCCACCTGGAGTAGAGTCTCACGGGCTCTAGTCCAGGTGCGGTGACACCTCTGGACAAAGGCGTGGGCGGAGGGAACCGCTACTTCGGATTCCAGACTGGGAAAAATAGGTGGCTGGTATCCTAAGCTACACTCAAACGGAGACAGACCCGTAGCTGACACTGGTAACGTATTGTGGGCGTACTCCACCATGGACAGTTGCTGGCTCCAAGAGGAAGGGTTCTTGGAGACCAAACATCGTAACACCCTTTCCAGATCTTGGTTGGCTCTCTCGGTTTGACCATTGCTCTGGGGATGAAACCCTGAGGACAGACTAACAGTCGCTCCCAGTAACCTACAAAACTCTTGCCAAAATTTGGACACAAACTGGGGTCCTCTGTCGGAGACCACGTCTGTCGGGAGGCCATGAATACGAAAGACGTGATCTACGACTATCAACGCTGTCTCCTTAGCTGAGGGTAATTTGGGTAAGGGAATAAAGTGAGTCGCCTTCGAGAATCGGTCCACCACGGTTAAAACCACCGTGTTACCTTGAGAGGGTGGGAGGGCGGTGATAAAATCTAAAGCGATATGGGACCAGGGTCTCGAAGGCACCGGCAGCGGCTGAAGTAACCCAGCTGGGGGTCGATTGGAAGTCTTACCAGTGGCACAAACCGAGCAAGCCAAAACAAAACTGTGGATGTCACGAGCCATACGTGGCCACCAGAATCGTTGCTTGACTAAAAAAAATAGTACGGTTAACTCCCGGATGGCAAGCCACGTTGGAACAATGACCCCACTGGATAACGTCAGACCTTAAGTCCTCTGGCACAAATAGACGGTTCGGTGGGCATGCGGGCGGAGGCACTACCCCTTCTAAGGCTGTCTTGACCTTCGATTCGACCTCCCATACAAGTGTGGAGATGAATAGATTCTCCGGTAAAATGCACTCGGGAGTAGACGGGCGTTCGGATCGATCAAAAATGCGTGATAAAGAATCGGGTTTGATGTTTTTGGAACCCGGGCGGTACGAGAGAGTAAAGTCAAAACGTCCGAAAAAAAGTGCCCACCGAGCCTGCCTAGAGTTCAATCTTTTGGCAGTTCTGATATATTCCAAATTCTTATGGTCGGTCCAGACGATAAAGGGTACCCCTGACCCCTCCAACCAATGGCGCCATTCCTCCAACGCTAACTTGACTGCCAGCAACTCCCTGTTACCAATGTCATAATTGCGTTCGGCAGGGGATAAACGATGAGATAAAAACGCGCATGGATGAACTCTGTCGTCTGTGGGAGAATGCTGAGATATTACCGCTCCTACCCCCACCTCTGACGCGTCGACCTCCACCACGAACTGACGTGATGGATCAGGGGTAATCAGGATAGGGGCCGAAACAAAGCGGTCCTTCAGTTTGGCAAACGCTGCCTCAGCAGCGTCTGACCACCTGAACGCAGTTCTGGGGGAGGTCAAGGCGATCAGAGGCGAGGCTAGTTGACTGAAATTGCGAATAAAACGCCGGTAAAAATTGGCGAATCCCAGAAACCTCTGTAGGGCCTTACGGGAATCTGGGATTGGCCAATCTACCACAGCCTTAACCTTCTCGGGATCCATGCGAATTCCCTCAGACGACACAATGTATCCTAGAAATGGAACAGACTGTGCATGAAAAACGCATTTCTCCGCCTTGACAAAAAGCCCATTCTCTAGCAACCTCTGGAGCACTCGTCGGACGTGCTGCACGTGTTCCTGGAGAG